TGAGATTGAGGTCAGCCTGGTCTACAGAGGAAGTTCCAGGACAGCCAAGTTTACAGAGAAACCCTGTCTTGGAAAACCAAAACCAAACCAAACCAAACCAAAAAGCCATTAGAAAGAAACTTTGGGGCCTTTTCCCCTGCGAGGTCTGTGGACCCTGAAACATAGTTTGCTCCAATACTGAGGGGACCTGAAAGGTGAGTCAGCAGCCACAGGGCTGGACAGCCAGGTGCCCTCCTCTCTGGAACCTCCCCAGTGAGGCAAAACCCAGGGGCCCCTCCCCAACTCCCTTGGCTTTTCTAGTCAGCCAGAAGAGGGAGTTTTCCTGCCCCTGGGCTATCATCATGATCAAGTAGGCTTCAACCCAGAGATGCAGGGCTGGTTCAACATTCGGCAATCTATCAATGTAATCCACCATATAAATAAACTGAAAGAAAAAAACCATATGATCATTTCATTAGATGCTGAAAAAGCATTTGACAAAATTCAACACTGCTTCATGATAAAGGTCTTGGAAAGATTAGGGAGACAAGGATCATATAAATATAATAAATGCAATATACAGCAAGCCGACAGCTAATATCAAATTAAATGGAGAGACACTCAAAGCAATTCCACTAAAATCAGGAACAAGACAAGGTTGTCCACTCTCTCCATCTCTTCAACATAGTGCCTGAAGTTTTAGCAATAGCAATAAGACAACATAAGGAGATCAAGGGGATTAAAATTGGAAAGGAAGAAGTCAAACTTTCGTTATTTGCGGATGATATGATAGTGTACATTATCTGTGACCCCAAAATTTCTACCAGAGAACTCCTACAGCTGATAAATACATTCAGTGATGTGGCAGGTTACAAGATCAACTCAAAAAAATCATTAGCCCTTTTATACACAAAGGACAAAGAGGCTGAGAGGGAAATCAGAGAAACATCACCTTTCACAATAGCCACAAATAACATAAAATATCTTGGATAACACTAACCAAGGAAGAGAAAGACCTATTTGACAAGAACTTTAAGTCTTTGAAGAAAGAAACTGAAGAAGATATCAGAAAATGGAAAGATCTCCTATGCTCTTAGAAAGGAAGGATCAACACAGTAAAAATGGCAATTCTACCAAAAGCAATCTAGATTCAATGCAATCTCCACCAAAATTCTTCACAGACCTTGGAAGAACAATAATCAACTTCATATGAAAAAACAAAAAACTCACGATAGCTAAAACAATCCTATACAATAAAGAAAAATTTGGAGGCATAACCATCCCCGACATCAAGCTCTATTACAGAGCTACAGTAACGAAAATAGCTTGGTATTGGCATAAAAACAGAGACGTTGAAAAATTGAATCGAAGACCCAGATATTAATCCACACACCTTATAACACCTGATTTTTGATAAAGAAGCTAAAATTATACAATGGACAAATGAAAGAATCTTCAACAAATGGTGCTGCCATAACTGGATGTCAACCTGTAGAAGAATGAAAATAGATCCATATCTATCGCCATGCACAAAATTCAAGTCCAAATGAATTAAAGACCTCAATATAAATCTGACCACACTGACTTGATAGAGAAGGTGGGAAGTACCCTTCAATGCATGGGCACAGGAGACCACTTCCTACATACATCCTCAGTACCACAGACAATAAGAGCAACAATAAATAAATAGGACCTCCTGAAACTGAAAAGCTTCTATAAAGCCAAGGACACGGTCAATAAGACAAAAAGGCAGCCTACTGAATGGGAAAAGATCTTCACCCACCCCACATCAGACAACAGACTGATCCCCAAAATATATAAAGAACTCAAGAAATTAGACATTAAAATTCTAAATAACCCAATTAAAAAATGGTGTACTGAACTAAAGAGAGAATTCAACAGAATTTCAATTGACCAAAAGATACTTAAGGACATGTTCATCTTCCTTTGCTATCAGGGAAATGCAAATCAGAACAACTATGAGATACAACTCACACCTGTCAGAATGGCCAAGATCAAAAACACTAATGATAGCTTATGCTGGAGAGGATGTGGAGTAAGGAGAGCACTCATCTCTTGCTGGTGGGAATGCAAACTTGTGCAATCACTTTGGAAATCAGTGTGGTGGTTCCTCAGAAAATTGAAAATCAACCTACCTCAGGATCCAGCAATACCACTCTTGAAAATATATCTAAAAGATGCCCAATCATACTATAAAATCATTTGTTCAACTATGTTCATAACAGCATTATTTGCAATAACCTGCAAACAACCTAGATGCCCCTCAACTGAAGAATGGATAAAGAAAGTGTGGCACATCTACACATTAGAGTACTACTCAGCGGTTAAAAAAAAATAACATCTTGAATTTTGCATGCAAATGGATGGAAACACTATCCTGAGTGAGGTAACCCAGACCCCAAAAAATAAATATGGTATGAACTCACTCATAAGTGGATATTAGCCATAAACAACTGACATTGAGCCTATAATTCATGATCCCAGAGAAGCTAAGCAACAAGGTGAACCCAAAGAAAAACATACATAGACGTACCTGGAAACTGGAAATAGACAAGATCGCCTGACAAAATTTGGGAGCATAGGGGTGGGGAGTAGAAGGAAGGGTTGAGGAGAACTTGAGGGAATGAGATAGTCGAGAGGAAGAAGGACAAATATGAGAGCAAGGAAAGAGATAAATTGACTGAGGGAGCTATTATGGGGTTAGCAAGAAACCTGGTTCTGGGAAAATTTCCAGGAATCCACAAGGATGACCCCAGCTAAGACCCTAAGCAATAGAGGAGAGGGGGCCTGAATTGGCCTTGCCCTGTAGTCAGACTGATGATTATCTTTTTTTTTTTTTAAATGTATTTATTTTATTATGTATACAACATTCTGTCTGCATGTATGCCTGTTGTAGTCCAGAAGAGGGCACCAGACCTCATTACAGATGGTTGTGAGCCACCATGTGGTTGCTGGGAATTGAACTCAGAACCTTTGGAAGAGCAGGCGATGCTCTTAACCACTGGGCCATTTCTCCAGCCCCTGATGATTATCTTAAATATCACAATAGGACCTTCGTCTAACAGCAGATGGAAACAGAGGCAGAGACCCACATCGGAGCATTGGATTGAGTTCCCAAGATCCAGCTAAAGAATGGAAGGAGTGAGAGTATGAGCAAGGAGGTCAAGACCATGAGGGGTTCACTCACTGAGACAGTTTCCTGAGCTAATGGGAGCTCACCAACTCCAACTTGACTGGGAGTGAATGAGCATGGGATCAAACTAGTCCCTCTGAATGTGGTTGATGTTGGGGCAGACTGAGAGACCATTGACAGTGGCACTGGGGTTTGTCCCTACTCCATGTACTGGCGTTTTGTGATCCTATTCTCTTTGGATGTATACCTTGCTCAACCTAGATGTAGTAGGGAGGGCCTTGGACTCTCAGCAGGGCAGGGTGCCTTGCTCTTTCTTAGGACTGGAAGGAAGTGGGGGTGGGAGGGTGTGTGCTGGGAGTGGGAATTTGGATTGGTATTTTTTTAAAGTAATAAAATAAAATAATAAAAAAGAAAAGAAATAAACATTATGACAACTTTTACAATGCATAATTCCCTAAATACCTTTACTACGTAAAATATGTTGGTGCAAAATTAATCACACAAAGCAGGGTTCCTTTCCCATTGGCTTATTTATTTTCACAATGCCACAAAGAAGTTCCAAATCTTTACAATTCTTTACCTGCTTCTCATTTTTTTTTAAAAAAAAAAGAAAAGCCCTAGAATATCAAATCATGTTTAAAAAAAACTTTAACTGAATTATTTTAAGTTATGACAATGATAGAATATGCCAGTCAATCAAAATCCCAAACTAATAAACCTTTAAAGTAAGACTGGACATCACTGGATCCCACCGCTTTCGCAGCTGCTCAGGCTGAGCAACTGTCACTAATTCCAGTGCCATCACCAATGCCACTCACGCTCAGAAGGCGTGTGTTCCTGTACATCTTACACACCGAGGGTCAAGTTTAAAACCAGGTTTCACCAGCTTTTTAAAACCATTCACAATGGTGAGTGTGTTGAAAACTCCAGTGAAATCCGCCTGCCTGGTGCCAAGTCCACAGTCTTCTACCTCTAGAGCACAGACAATTCTGTAATTACACGGCTGCACCAATTTATAAGCAACTAATACATTTTGAATTGTTAGTAATATAATAACGTTATAAATAGTTTACTTTCTCCTTTTCCTTATAATCTTTATATTCATGCATCTCATTTATTTGTTTAGTAGACTACTAAATTCTGGATGTAAGCATAAAATAAAACAGATGAGTATGGATAAAACAGCTCAATTTTACTAGATGTCCAACACAGTTAAAGCCATTAACTAGGAGACAAATTCGATCTAAGGCAAACATGGAGAAAGTTGGATCTGACCTTAGGTTCTTCATAGTCTGACCTGTCAAGTACACGTGAACACCCATGGCCCAAATTCTGAATGTCTATGTGCCATAAAGCTGTGTCATAAATGGAATGTCCATTACTTGAAGAAAGGCCCCTCTGATGCTAAACTTTACAAGATGTGCAGTCTGGAGTGATAGGCAATCATATTAACAAGGTTAAGACCTAGTCAAAAATACATATATTTACACATAAATAATAGCCTCTAAGGAACTTGAGTTTAAATGACGATGTCTATCACCAGAGGAACCTGGGCTAGCAGTGCTGCAGTCCTAGTCAAGGGTGACATCGCATCAGTTTTCTTCAGTTCATCACTAGACTATCTGCCTGTTAGCTGAAGATCACAGTAGATTCCACACTGAGGCATTGCCTGAATGCACTCAAGGTATATCCAGTAGTCAAGAGTCAGGTGGACCAACACCTCCCCTCCACTCACAAATGCAGGCTCTTCCACATCATCCCTGTCTGTTACCATGGCCGCAATGTAACGGCTATTCAGTTTCTATTTCTGCTAAACCATTCTGATTATCAACCCTAAGTTTCTTTTAAAACTCTGGAACAATATGAAAACATTAAAAATATTTTTAATTTTGTCTTTCAATACAATAAAATTCTGATATATGATGTTAAGGTGATTCAATTACTAGACAAATGATCCGTTTACATAATACATACTTTGTAAAGAGGTTTCACTGAATTTTTCTTTAGTGAGGTGAGTTTCAACTGTTCTAAAAACAGTAAATTAGCTCATAACTGGTGTGTGAATCTAAAGTATGTCCTTTATGAGAATATCTGTAAGCCAAAACAAAGCATTAGGCAGATGGTATTAAAAATAATGCTAACAGGTATACTAAGCAACAAACTTTTGTTTAACTTACATCTGCTCAGATTTTTAGTTTAGTATAAAGGCCCATTAATCAATTCATTAGATTGGTCAAGGCAAGACATCTGAACTACACAATGGGATTTTAAAAGCAGTTGGTTTTGTTGTTCCTGATAATAATTCACTCATACACACCCCCCCCCACAAGCACAAGAGTGCACATGTGCACACACACACACACACACACACACACGGTAGAGCACTCTGGATATTGGATTTCCTCCCATCATCCTGTATAATTTACTGCTCACAATCTGCAGTGTTTTGAAAACTATATATTAAGCATGACCAAATTAGAGCTATCCGATAAACTTTTATAAATTAGTTGGGAACTTCAGGTGTTTCCAAGAAAACTGACGTTAAAACTATAAAAAAAATGAAAATTCATATAAAAACACAAGTTTAACACACATCTTGAAAAAAACTCAAGTTGTAACTCAATTGTGTATTTTCTCAAACATGACCAAGAAAAGAGTTACAAGTAGTAATGCCACGTCAAGAAGAACAAACAGTTAACGGTGGGCTTGGGAAAGCTACACAGCATCATTGCACGCCACGGCTGTGCACAATTCGGCATGTGCCAGCAATGGAAAAACTGTCTTGCACTGAGGTTTTCCAAGAGGTACAACGAGCCTGCCAAGAGACATCTGGTCTGTACTAACAGCTTGCTGTCTTCAGTACAGGCCTTCATAATGTCAGTCACGCTGCTCTTGCAAAATCCCTTAGTGTCTGAAACAAAGAGAAAAGAAGAACGTTGTATTTTAGTCACTGTTATACCAACTCCTAGGAAGCTAACCCGCTGACAGAGGACAGAAAATGACACTGCTAAGCAAGAGCTAACCAAGCCTCTTCACATTTACACATCTGCTCAAAAATTTTCTATCTTAAGCATGTTAAAAAAATAATCTGCATTTAGGAACTAATTATTTGAAAGTAAGAAGCTATGCATCTATAAACTATAATAAAACACATCAATTCTGGCTACAAAGAGTTCAGAGTCTGAAAGACATCCATCTGCTTCTCTTAGGTGGGAAACGGAAGTGATAATATATGTAGCATCTACTAGCATTTGTAAAGGAAGCTACAAATTGCTACTGTATTTTTAAACTACTTACAAAATAGTTTTCAGTGCTGATAGGTAGGGCTATGATCGATGATGTGGTATTGAGTCCATGTGCACATTGAGTTTCATTTCATTGTCAAGAATTTGGACAAGTTGTTGCATGGATGGAAGATGACCAGATTCCAGCTTAGACCATACCGGCACATCTACAAAACAAAGAGCCAGCACCCCACCCCACCCCAAAGAAACATTAATGTAATCCCACGACAGACATCGACCCCACAAATACTTATTGACTTTCATTCACAATTGGGGGCTACAAAAGCGCATGCTTCTTCCTTTTCGGGGGCTTTCACGGCAGCAAAGGAACCACTGGGCACACAGATGTCACCACAGAATTACCCGCATGCTGGAAGACTGAAACCAGACGCTGCAGTGCCAGGAGGAGCGCAGTCCCCAGCCTTTCCTGCTGACTGCCAGGGAAGCACAGCAGGTAAACTAGGCCTAAAAAGGTAACGCTAAGCCACTAAGCTAGAGTAAAGGCTCATGGCAGTAGGAAACTGCAGAGGTAAGAAGCAGTGTGAAGGCTAAAAAGGAGAATGCGCCTGCACAGGCCGCCGTTATAAGGAAGTATTGCAAGGGAAACCAAGAGGCAGAGAAATTTACATTGGGGAACAAACTGCAGCAAACCAAAGTTGAACATTTTGTCTAGGGAAGAGTATCTGTCAGTCATTCAACTCACACAGCAACTTGAGGCAGGAATGGGAACACACTTTAAAACTGGGCATAGCTGTGTTCAAAGGAAACCATCAGACAGGCAATAGGATATGAGACAGGACCATAGTCGGCTGACCCCTAAACCAGACTTTATAGGAATTCTGCTCACACTGAAGATACTGGCATTTATCTTGAAAAAGAACTTAGGGAGTTTTAGATACTTGGGGGACACAAGGAAAAAAGTCACTGAAAAAAAAAAAGCAAGCAAACAACCCAGCAAACAAAAGAACCCAAGCTGGACAGTGGTGGCACATGCCTTTAAACCAGCACTCAAGAGACTGAGGCAGGCAGCTCTCTGTTGAGTTCGAGGCCAGCCTAGGCTACAGAGCAAGTTCAGGACAGCCAGGACTGTTACATAGTTTGTGTCTTAAAAAACAAAGCAAGAAAACTAAAAAATCATCGTTAAAGATATGTTCGCCAACAGGGGCGTCATGTAACAGAGTAGGTGCTAGCAGGGAAAATTAGCAGATGTGAACTTGTAAGCAATGTGGGAAGCAGAGCTTAGAGGTTCTGGTGCAGGGAGTAATGGGAGAATCCCTAGGATTCCAGGCAAATTAGCAGGAAAAATGACGGAACAATTAAACGAAGAAAAAAATCCCAGAGGAGACTAGAAGCGGCACATAGGACCCAGAGGAGGTAGCTAAGAGCTTATTTTGAAGCAGGTTATGTTAAAGATTCCCAAGTAAAGCACTCAAAACAGATCCACAGTGCCCTGAAACGATGCACTCAGGAACTACACCCGTTTCATTTTAAAGCCTGAACTAAACACATGGAAGTCAAATCATCTAGAACCTCAGGTAGCAACTAAGATTCTTTTCATAAAAAAAAAAGGCTTCTGAATTTTCAGTTTCTATCATATAAACTCACTTATATGAACATTAAAAGCCTGTTTGTTATTAAGCACGTGCTCATCACAAATGCACACCAATCAGAACCTACCATTTAATGTGATCTCAAATGCACCCGTCGACATACATTGGTTCTCAATCATGTTGCTCAAGAAGAAAACCATCATACATGCATAAACCTAGAAGCCAAACCGCACAAAATATAAGACACCTTCATTTGATAGAAAGTTTCAGCCTTAATTGGATAGCACTTTCTTTTAATATAATTTAAAAGTGTCCACTCAAAATGTCATCTCACAAATCATCTATATACCAGGAAAAACTCACAGCTCTTTACATGTTAAAGAACATACAGACACCATTCTTATTATTTACAGAATTTCTAAAACGTCTCAATAACTGAAGTTAAATAAAAAAGAATACCAAATTTAGAATGGCTCATTTTACCGATTTTAAGATGTAAAATGTCTCACAAGAGAATAGTGATGCAACCACCAGCAACTTTACATATATTACATACAACCTACTTAAATTAAAAAAAAAATCTTAAAATCATCTGTAGTTTAGACTGTGCCCTAGCACAAAGAAGAAAATGTACTATGTCTGACATCGTAAGAGAACAGTGATGCAATTGTCAGCATCTGTAGGTTTAGACTGACTTAGCACATAAAAGTACATGCATTCACCCTTCAAAGGCAAATCCACCCTTTTGAAAAAGAGAGTAGAAGCGCTTTAATTTAGTAAAATTACTGGACGGAAAGCTGGGTATGGTGAAGACATAAACTTGTAATACACTGTTTCAGAACGTCATTGATCATAAGGGAAAGAAAGTTTGCCTGACTATTCTCTTTGAGCCAGATGGGTTTTGTGGGAACACAGAAAGTGTTGCCACAAAAATCTGTATCTTTATCTTTTGGCTTTTCCATGATCAACTAAGAATGGCAACTATACCTCTGTGCTATCCACATGTGAGCGCAGCACAGAACACGTGAGACTGAACTGCAAACCCATGTCTAGTGAACAACAGGGCAGAGATGTAACTTTCCTAGAGACAGCTAAGGATGTTTATGGTAACAAATGCCTATTCTGGAGAACCAGTGAACAGGAGTCTGCTAAGGGTGCTGAGTCCAGAAGTAAAGGGCAAAGTCAGAGCACTCCCCAGAGAACTTTGCTTCGTAAGGGACGCAGCCAAAACACTCCCATTCAAGAGAGAAATAGAACTAAATCCATTTCCAATAATGGTGAGTGACTCAGGGGGAAAAAGATTTTAAGTAAAAAGATTTAAAAATAAGACTAATTGGCAGAGGGTCACAGGGCGCAGCCATGCAGCAATAAGCTTGCCCACTTGGCTGAATAACTAAGAAAAGCCCAACATTGAGAAAGACTAACTTCTCCTTTTCTCTATCCTAAGCATGCTTCCCTAAACACTCTGGACTTCCCCAGTGTCTGGGCTTCCTAGGTCTTTCTCTAGTGACCCTCTGTACCATAAGGCTGCCCATCAACCCTGGCTCTGACGCCACACCAGCTTAAACACCATGGCTTTTCCTTCTCTCCTCCAGGCAGACACTGAGGTTTCACAGTTTCTTTCTCTTGTAAGTTAAACACACACACACACACACACACACACACACACACACACACACAGGGTCACCACAACCCAAAAGCCCAGTCACCAAAGCCACATACCTTATTTTCTTGGCCCCACTGCCAGATGCTAGGAGCTTGCATGCCGAGAAAAGCAAAAGGATCCTTGCCAACAATTATTAAGCCTATTAATACTAGTTTGAAGACTGACAGGAAAGATGCTATATGTCTAGCAAAAGAAAAGAAAAAAGTTAATCAGAAACTACAATTTCTTATCTTTTCTGGAATTTAATAATCACACTTTATGTGAAGACATTTTCTGGATATAAAATCCAAGTTATTAATTGCATTAAATTTAGTATCATTGGTTTTCTAGGAAATTTGGAGTACCTGAGGTGGTTCAGGGGTAAAAGGCATACTCAGAAGGTGCGGCAGCCTGGACTCAATCTCAGACTAACTTCCCAACATGAACTGCACGAGGAGACCCTCTTAAAACACCCTCAGCCCATTGCTATTCACAAAGCAGAGCTCTCTGTTCATTACTATGAGAACGAAGAAGTACTCGACCCAGCGAGGCGAATGAGACATTTACAAACTGTGTAAGCTGAAAGGCTGTCCTCAAGCACTGAAATTCACTCACCTATAAATTGGTTGAGGGAGGTAATTCTCTCCTTCGATGCGGATGTCTGGGTACCGCTGGCTAATAACCCGCATGTATTCCTCAAACACCCGCCTGTACCCTCAGGATACACTGCCAAAAAAGAAATGTTTCCATTCAGTATTTTGAGTATATCTAGACTTAAAGTCAAAGAAAGTGTAAATATTATCAGATTGAAAAATTTTCAGAATCCACCGTAATTAATGACTGACCCTAGACAATGAACACAGGGAAGATTTTTCCATCTTATAAATTTTGTGTATTTATGTTCCCAGCAGATTAACCAGCCAGTTATAACACTACACTTCACAGTTTTGGGTTAGACAACAGCAAACACCAATCCACGTGTGTGCACATCACTCTCACGTCAACTGACCCTTTGTAGAGAGTACAAAACCTGTTGACGGAAATGCAAGCCGTGCAAACCCTTTCCCACTGCCTTACTGCTTGTAAGAGCCCTGAAGTGCGTTTGAAAAGTTCTAAAACCAGGTCTGGGCCCAAGGATTGCAAAAGGCCTGTGAGAGACCAAACAGGGAAACCGAGGACCCGAGAAGGCTTCCTTCACAGTTTTTCCCCAATAACGTGCATATTTCTCTTCTCAGTTCTACTGAAAGATTTTAACTGTACTTCCCTCAAAGATTCTGGTATTAAAGGAATAACTTCGAAAACCTACATTCATTTCTAGAGAAATTCCAAGCTATCTTATAATAGGAGTTCATTTCTGGAACACGAACAATGGTGGCCAGGGGTTGTGTGTCCTGTAAGTAGGATCCTAACCCTCTGCCATGTGAACTATGAAAACAGGAATGGAGGGAGTAGAAGAAAAAAGGGTGGAGGGAAGTCAGGTTTTGTTTTTGTTTTGTTTTTTTGTTTGTTTGTTTTGTTTTTTCCTTTTTGGCTTTTTTTGTAACTGTAAAGGCCTGAGATTTTGGTCATCCCCCCCCCTTCTGATAGAAAAGCACTCGAACTGAGTCATACCCTGTAGCCTGCCTAAATTTTAATCTTAATTCGGAGGTAAGATACTTGAAAAGGTCTGAGCTTACTGCAAATAGATATCTGGCTACAATTAGCAGATATAGCAGAGAAAAGAAAAGTGAAATAGTTGGTACTCAGTTAGGCACTATGATAGTTTGCATGTAAGTGGCTTCCATGAGCTCATAGGGAAGAGGCACTATTAGGCTTTGTTTGAAACAGGTATAGCCTTGTTAGAGGAAGTGTTACTTGGGGACGGGCTTTGAGGTTTCCTGCCCAGTGTCAGAGACCAGTTCCAGTTGCCTTCTGATCAAGATGTAGCCAGCACCATGTTTGCCTGCATGTTGTCATGTTCCCTGCCAGGATGATAATGGACTGAACCTCTGAAACTAAGCAAGCCACCCTATTAAATGTTTTCCTTATAATAGTTGCTATGGCCATGATGTCTTCACAGCAATAGAAACCCTAACTAAGACAGCAACTAAACTGGTAGAGTTGAAAAAGCACTAAGTCTTTTTGACATAGCATGGGAAAGACTTTTTCTAGAATTCCTAAATTTCCAGTTCCATGGTGTGCATGACTTCTCCCCAAATACACTGTCACTGAAGACTAGAGCCATCTCTCACTGTTCTTTGGAGTGCCCAGAGCACAATGAAACAACATTTCATGAGTGTTAATATAGACAGGTCCAACTTATTTAAAGAACCATGAAAGTGCGGATCAGTTTTAACATGTTTGTAGATAAAAGTATTTAGTCTATATATAACGAAAATGTTAGCAAAACTTTTCAAGTCTGCTTATTCTCCAACCAAATCTTTCCTAACCCTAAATTCTATAGTCTGCCCTAAAGCGCTTTACAAATGCTCTGTCATACCCGCCTGTTTTCAGGTAAGAAACCTTTAATTTGCTCAGCTCTGTTCCCCAGTCATCAACTATCACACACACAACCCTCTTCTCATACACATCTGTGCTAGTCCATCCATTCCCCAGCCCCAAGCCCCATCCATTCCCCAGCCCCAAGCCAACTACGAACTCTTCTGCTTTACTCCACCTGGTTCAGCTAAGCCTCCCTCCTACAGGTGTTGAAATGTGAAGGCTGCGGTCTAATCTGAACCTCCTGAGCACTGCCAGCAGGAAGGCACAGCTCACCCGCTCCTTCTCACAACTTCTCCTCCCATCCCACACACGGCTCCTAGGAATCTCCAGCACACAGCCAGCTGACTCCAGTCACGTGTGCGTTGTACTGTTAGCAGTCTACTTTATACCGAGTATTATGACCGTTCCCATCGGCTCACTGTTTTCTAAATACATGGCTATTCTGAATTAGATATTCCAAAGGGTAAGTACAGGGCCTGCGGTGCATCAGAAAACAAAAAGATCTGGTCAGAATGACTCAGTAGGCAAAGGTGCCCACGTGAGAGTGAACAGGTGAACACACACACATTACAATTTTTAAAAAAGTGTTTTAGGCTACAACCACACTGGGATAAATGCAGAATTGATCAAAAATAGCTTTTTAACCACAAGCAAGACAAGAAGATGGGCAAAATACAGTTACCACTTTCAATTCTTATTCTCTTTTGACGTCTCATGAAAACTATGTAATCAGGTCCTAGAACAAGGCAAGCCTGTTAAGTTTTGTCTTCCGTTTTAGACCTGAGCCGACTCAGAAAAGGTGGGTTGACTTGCTCATAGTCACAAGACTAATAGAGGACAGAACCAGATGAGAAACCAAATTATGCGGGCCCACCAACAAACACATCTGACTCCACAGTCAATTTTATTGTCCTCAAAGGACAATAAAGGATTTTCAGATTAGAAAGAATGACAGACACAAAAGTTTCATGACTAGTGAGATGGCTCTGCAAGTAGAAGTGCTTGCCACAGGAGCCTGATGACCGTGTTCAATCCCTGAACCCACGCTGAAGATAAGCCACTCTAAGGTTGTCCTCATGACCGCCACATAAACGTGCACACACGCCGCCTCGACAATAATAAAAATCTTAAGAAGCACCAAGGGAAGACTGCTAAACACGGACCCGTGCAGAGTCAGGAAATGCGTTCTCCAGCTACCAGCAGTGCAGCTCCATCAACGTTCTGTCATGGCGGCCGCTCTGGTCTGATGAGAATACCTGCGCTAACTATCCAGATACCCCTGTACGCGGAAAACAGCCATGCAAAAGGGACACAGGATATGTAGAAAAATGATTACAACAGTACTTTAAATGATTACATTTCTTAGTCTCCTGAAGGAGTTTACCATCTCATTGGAGAGACAAATGTACAGCAGACACTGGGGAACAACTGCAGGAAACACAAGTGAGCCCACAGTGTGGTTCGTACATCAAATACGTGTATTAAAGTGAGAATGCAGTGGAATTTCACTGCTATATATAATTTTCTACCCCTCTTTTCTCAGGCCATAGCCTATCTGGATTCAACCTTTATGAGAAAATAATCTCTACTCTCCCCTTATTGGCAAAATTGGCAATAATAAATATGGGCCCAGGTCCTACCTTAACTGGACATTATGGCTGAACTGAGTAGTAGAGTCCTAACAGGAAGGTAACTCCCCACGGTACACAACCACCTTCCAAATGAGGTGGTCAAGGTGAGAGACCGCATGACACACACGGAAGGGAGAACCTGCCTGTGTGGCACAGGTGATAAGTTTAATAAAAGAAGTTCTGTACCTCTGAAAGAAAGCACTGTGATCTCAGGACACAGAACAATGAAAAAACAGCTTTCTCAAAATTCTACATCCATGACAACTTCAAAACTGGTAGCTGAGATGATCCAGCCAAGACTTCAGATAAACTCTACACTTTCCAATCACACAGAGACTAAACAAAAAATAATACAGCTACTTCTCCCACGACTTGATAATTATCCCATTTTTCTCAGAGTCCCCCAAAGATTCTGTTGTCCACAAACAACATGGTGCCCACATTCCTAAGAGGTGTGTGTGTGGGTAACTTGGTCACTCAGTGGGTTATGGATATTTGCTATCATGGGGGGGGGGGGTGCTGGTTACAAGTTGTTATTGGTAAGGGGAAGGAAAAAAGCTGAACAAAGGAAATTAGATTCAAGAATCCTTTCCTAAAGGAAAAGGGGAAAATATAGTATAGAGATGATGCGAGAAAATGGTGGATTGTTGAGTCTACTTTTGAAAAACTACTAGTCTCAAATATTTTACATTACACTGGTGTGGACTTTTGCACACTGATACAAATTTAAGGCTATTCTGTTCCACTGTGTAAATGTTTCTACTCTTGTTTAAGGTACTGAACCTATGCAGCTCATTTAATACATCTCACACCTCACTAAGACATATGCAGGGACCCTGCATTTTTGCGCAAACTCCATGTTATTTAAATCATCATAATTAGAGATCATAATGCACTTTAGATGTTGTTTTTTCAGTAATTATAACACTTCTATTCACAGAAGTAATTAAACAATTAGAGGTCCTAGTACTTCTTAACAGATAGTATTGCATAAAACATTTTCCTGTATGAAGAGAGACCAAACGACACTCTCATCTCTCTTCACAGCCAGGCTCACTCTCGCACACCATCCAAGGAAATCGCATTTTGTTAATTTTGCTCAGCTGCACATGTGAAATTTTAAACTTCCTCTCCATGGAATCATTCTCTCACCCAAAGACAACTGTTGCTTTGGTTTGCATATTGTTCAAAATTTATGCAGGAAATGATCCAGCATAGGTTGGATCTTGCAAAGTCTTCCTGAGTGACTGTCCATTTGGGCGTTATCATTGACATGTCAGAATGTTCATATGTGTTCAAATTTATGGTAGCTCACTGTCTGCGGAAATATGGGGGTGCATATCAAAGGATCTGTTGACCAAGCTTAACTAGGTAAAGGGATGTCTTGATGTCCTTCGTGTAACCAGAGACCACTTGAGTGTTGTAGGTTTTCTCATTTCACTGAGGTTTGATCATGAGAGGTGGACAGCTCTTTGCACAACATCTTAATTCATCACTGAAAAAAAGACTGATCACAGAGAGTAGAGTCACATAGAAACAGTCTCCCCTTAAAAATAAATAAATAATAAATAAATAAATGATAAGACACAAAACAAAACAAAACTGGATCTGTGC